GGTGCCGGTGGTGGTGCCGGTGGTGGTGGTGGTGGTGCCGGTGGTGGTGGTGCCGGTGGTGCCGGTGGTGGTGGTGCCGGTGGTGGTGCCGGTGCCGGTGCCGGTGCCGGTGATGGTGGTGGTGGTGGTGGTGGTGGTGGTGGTGGTGGTGGTGGAGGAGGAGGAGGAGGAGCAGCAGGAGGAAGAGTAGCAACAGCCCTATAGAGTTTGCATTAGCGCTACTGCTAGTGCTGGTCGCAGCAGTTACTTTCAGCCCAGACCGACATGAAGCCCTCGCTTGACCTATCTTCTTTGCCCGAACAGGTGTGGAGCTCTTTGACAACAAAGTCTTCGAAATCTCCAACATGGAGGCGGGCATACTGAATTTCTCAGAAGAATCTTGCGATTGTCTGTCTTCTTTTTGCAGCAGAGGGCCCAAACAGTGATGTGCCAGTTCGAAAGAGCTTAGGGACTGGCTCGATTAAAAGCAGTTGAAGCCTGACATATCATGTCAGTCAGTCATTCACGTACCTTGCTTCAGGCCGAATGTATGGACCCGATGTTCCGACAAGTCATGGAGGCCGTGTGCAAACGGATGATTTTCTGTTGTAAACAATGAGGCCCTTCCTGCAACAACCATTTGCAGATCTCACATCATTTCCAGGTGGGCTACCTGTCAACCCTTCAGATTGGGCTCACCAAGAAGCTCTGGCCTTGGCCCTCCAATGCTCTGTGTTTGGGTTTTGTGCCGCACTGCTGCCTGTTGTCCGCCTCAGTATTTGGCCTTGCCACAGTTGCTGCAAAGACCCGCATTAGGCGAGATTAGTTTTAGGGGAGGCCTGGCCGTGGGCGGGTCGAATCAATTCAGATGACCGTTCGTCTAGCAGGATTTTACTTTAGACGCATAAGTAGCTTCTGCAACCAATTTCCCCGCACCGACGCATAGCAGTATTACCAGAGGTGCTGTGTTCAAGTGCTCTGCAGCCCGAGGGTGGCAAACTCGAAGTCCACGCATGCGTCCGTGTCCGTCGGTTTGGACAAACAGGAGACCATTGTGTTGCTGTCCCAAGTTGATTTCAAGCGTGAATGGCACCTGCTGGCGATTGTGGGTAGCAAGTTGAAGAAAGGCTCCCTGTTCAGTAACTTAATTACCATGCTCTGATACTTTGCCTCTGTTTGCCATTGCCGCCTCCACACCTGCGCGCCTTCTGCAGGAATGGACCCAAATGCCGGTCGCGACAAGCGTTGCAACTAACAACCAGCTGGCCATTGTTGCGAACCGTTTCAACTACGTCTTCAACCTGAAAGGCGCCAGTTTCCAAAGAGCGCACTAGCGGAGTGAAACAAAGTTCATGCAGGGAAAGCAGGATTGCAGGTTAAGCTGTTGCTGCTGCTTGGCCAGTGGATCCAAATCCTCCACGTATCTGCATAAGGCTTGCACTTCCTACCGAAGCAAGACCGAAGACTCTTCCCCTCAATGGGTAGGAAGGTTCCAACTGTGTAGGTGGCAGCTATGCCTGCGACACGGCCTGCTCATCCTCTCTGGTGGTGCCTGAGCTCAGCTTTGCGAACGCTCGCAACGAAGATTCATGGACTTGGGGAAAAAGACCTCTCGCTCATATTCCTTGCTGCGTTTGGCACTTGCCGGAGAACCAATTCCCTTTTGCGATTTACCACGTATGCTGAATGTTAGGTTTTGGAGGGCTATGAGGCTATGCCATTCATTCCGACAACGTTCACAGAGCCGAGGCCTCACACCTTGGGAAGGTGAACCTGCTGGAACAGAGGCTACCTCAGCGTAAGCCTGCTTGTGCCAAGCTCATGTCTTGTGGGCTTTGGGTATGCGAGAAGGTTTAGGGCTTGGGGCAGCACATCGTTTAAGAGATGCAGATTCCATGCTTCGAGTTGACATCAGACGTGCTGAGGACAACGATAGTGCGAGTACCGCTGAAGCAGAGGGTTCAGCCCAAGCTGACTACTGCGCAGGTGGGACCCGCTTGAATGGCACCTGGGCCTAGGAACAGGCCTTACCCTCACAGCAGATGCCTCAGGTCTCATTCTTCGTTTGCCATCCGCATAAGACCTGCAGATATGTGATCTTGGCAACTTTTTTGAGTAACACATCCCAGCGAAGACCGCCTGAGGTGGGATCCTTCATCCACGGCTGTGCAGCGTACGGGGACCAAGTGGGGGTGCATGGGAGCTCTTTGGATTTCAGGCCTCGGGTCTTACTCATGCGAGGTGCACCTTGAGTGGATTGCTTCATCCGCTGTCGGGGTAGGTGAGACAGGTTGTGCATCGTGTGCAATGTGTTACCTCTGTGGAATCAAATAGGAGGTTTCTCACATTCTGGGGTATGAGAGAAGCTGCACTACACCAGGACTCTTGTTCCCTACCCCTTCATTCCATACCCGCATCAAGGCTCGCATCACGAAAGGATGACACGATCCATACAGTAACCTACGGATCCATACCCCCGTTCCGTAGGATCAGTTTATTTGGTCTGGGTGAGCAAAGGCATGCTTTGGGTCACAGCCAAACATGGCTGTTGAACAACACGGACCCCTGAGGCACATGCTTTCACCTGGTGGTCGGTGTTTCACCTTCAATGCCAATGGCCCAGCTGAATCTGTTGAGATCTTTGAAGAGCGTGCTGGGACACAGTTTGTCGTGGGATCGGGCCCCGCATTAAGGCCACAGCCAATGGCTACAACAGAGGAGATGGCACGGCAGCTTTCATCATCAAGCCCCTGGCTTGGGAAGGTGACACAAAGATGGTTGGTGTCACAAATCTTCCAAGCAGACCCTGAACTCGCCAACCTGCTGCAGCCTAGGAATGGCACTTTCGAGGAGGAGAGGCGCCCCTCTCTTCTGCCTACTTGTGAAATGCTTTCTCTGGGCAGTGCTGGGTTTTCAGCAGTAAGGTTAGCAGTCACCTAGCCTGCAACAGCCAAATTTACGGTTTGCAAAGGTACGCATTTCTCCGCGGATCGCAGATTGGCCAGGATGGCAGAAGCGCCAGCATGCCTCTTCACCCAGTTTCAGGTTACATTCGTGCAAGTTGTTTGTCGTGCAGCTGTAGAGGAGCCTTGATGTTAGAGCGATAGCTTGCAGAGCATCATGCAACTGTTTTTGGACCTGCACAATTGATAATCCTGGACAGTGGGATTTCAAATAAGCAATGCGAGTTTTGGCTTCATCAGCCCACCCTTGCTCACTTTCCAGTCAATAGTTGTTACGATCATGACTGCTTTGGTGTGGCCATTGGCATGACTGGAAGTCGGCATTTTGCCCATTCTACAGCTAGACAGACACAGAACCCCACGTCATTTTGGCAGGCAGCCTCCGTCAGCAGGGACAATTTACTACCGGTACTTGAGAAGCACGTGCTGACCATTGCCTGGCTAGTTGTGTAGGACTTCAAGGCTGCAATTTCTAGTCGCTGGACATATCTTGCAAGATCTGTTTGCACCGGCGTTGCCTTGCCACTGAGGAGAGGCGGTTGAGGTGCCAGGAAAGATGTGCTACCACCGCTTTTCATGGCTCAGCAACCTAGTCTAGGCATGTCTAGGCCCTCACTTCTGCCTAAGCTGTGAGGTTCTGAAATGAACGCCCACTGCCACGCAAGTCCATGTTGGATGGCAAGCGTTAAGCAGACACTGTAGCCTAGAAGCCTGTAAGAGCTGTAAAACCAGAGTGGATACTTGCTCGAGGAATCTCAGGGACAGACGCATGCCCTGTGTCAGAAAAAACAAGTTTGGTTTTTGCCACTTATCACTTACGAATTTTGCATTATTAGTTTCATACTTTCCTAATGCTGTGGTAATATTCTGTTGGAGTTGAGTTAAAAAAATTCAAATTTTGAGATTTTTCTTGCATTATCTTAACCTTATAATTCAAGCTTGCTATTTTAGTAGGATAATAGCAAAGTAGTTAGAGTTAGTTTATAATACTATTTTACATTGCCCAACTCAGACTCAGGTCCTCAGCATGTTTCGTGTTTATGGGGCATGTGGAGACATGCTTGCCGAGTTTCCTGTGGATGCTGAGCCCGATGTTCGGACTGTAAAGCGACGCCTGACGTCACTGTGTGGGGCCACTCGCTTTCGACAAAGGCTCGTGCAACGGGATGCAATCTTGGAGGATGCCGCAGCTTTGGTGCCAGGAGATGTGCAGCTCGTTGTGCTACCATTTGCAGACGCTGATTCCGGCAAGGCTGTGGACATGGCACAGGCCGCTGAGCATGGCGATCTGGCGGCCATGGAGAAGCTGCTGCAGCTGAGGCAGAATCCGAATGACATGCGAGACGGCCCCTTCGTTCGGGCTCCTTTGCACGGCGCTGCTGATCGGGGCCACCTTGAGGCTGTCAAGCTACTTTGGAAGGTGCTGCTGACCCCAATATTCCAAGCCGCGGGATTTTCACGGCTACTCTGCTTTCGGAAGCCACTTCAAACGGCTACAGCGAAATAGTAGGCGTTCTTCTGCAAGCGGCTGCTGACCCCAATCCCAGCATTCATATTTTGCCGCTGTGGTGTTGCGTTGCCGCGAACCACACAGACATCGCTCGCCTCCTCCTCGAAGCACGCGCAGATGCAGACGCGCCGCATGGTTTCAACCCGCCGATGTATTATGGTAGGAGTCCCTTGGCCCATGTTTCTGCTAAGGGCCACATAGAGCTTGTGCGCCTGCTGCTGAAGGCGGGTGCTGCAAAGGATAAAGTTGACAACGCTGGTGCAACACCGTTGTGGCTGGCATCAGCTGTTGGGCACGCTAAGGTTGTGCGACTGCTGTTGGAAGCAGGTGCTGACAAAAACTTAACCAGAAACCGACAGTCGCCTCTCTTTGCCGCCTGCGCAAGAGGACATACAGGAGTCGCGCTCTTGCTTTTGCACCTTGGTGCTCTGAAGGGACGTCGCAGCCGGTATCTCGAGCATCCTTTGCGAACAGCACGGCAGAACAAGCAGTGGGCGGTAGCGTCCCTTCTGTCCGCTCACTCTGCTGCTCTTCAGATGTCAAGGGTTTCACCGTGCAAAAAACCGCTGAAGCGGCCCATGCACACAAAACCGGCGGCAGTTTTCAAAACGGCTTGCAAGAGACACCTTAAACCCAACCCTTTCTCAGCCAGCGCTTCCTTTCACCAGGGTTTGAAGTTGGAGTTGTTATTGTGTTCTACAGAGGTCTGCAAGCGTCAGAGTCGTCAGTTCATGTCAGTTCCCCGAGTCACAGCGGCAGCATCATTCAGGATGCCATTCTTGAACCTTGCCTTTGCAGTGCCTATAAGGCCGGCATCAGGTGTTTAAACAGGGGTTCGAATCGGCACGCACGAGAACTGTGGCACGCGAGTGGGCACAAGAATTCATTAAGAGCAGGGTCTCAGTCGGTGGACCATTTCAATTTGTGGTTGAAGTTCATGCAAGGCTAGAAGCATTCTCAATACTCTATGCGTGCAAGACGACAAAAGGGCAGGCAGAAGCAAGCCCCAACACTAAAGCACATGATGTATTGAGTTCCGTTCACAGTTACATTTGTATTTCATCACAGCCGCGCCTTGCTTCGAAATCCATACGTTGAGCAATGCGGCATTCTGTGTACATTACCGCATGGCTACTAATATGCAGGTCCTGATATCTACCTGTGACCTCGTGTTAGCAGATCTTGAAGTTGCATGGCATCATGCAATCTTGAGATTGGCCGCCCAGGTCTGCCCCGAACGGGCCAGCGCAGGAAAAATGCGCCATGGACTCATTCTGGAAGACATTGGTGTTGAAATATGCTTGGGATGTGATTTGTTGCAGAAGGGTTGCCCTGGGATGCGCACTCACTAAAGAAAAAATGAGCTGCAATACACGCCGTTGGTGGCTGACGTTTTTCAGGCGCCTCAGACTCAGCACTGAGTTATCAGCTTGGCAAGAGGTATCTATTTTCCAGCTCGTGTGTGCACACGCTGTGGCAGCATGCCGTTCATCAGGGTTCGCGCGTGAGCGCACGCCAAAAAATGAAACCTCGCGCTCAACCCTGGCCAGAGAAACGTGAGCATGGGAGGGGTCGAGTGGTGACGCGGACCTGGCCCATGGAGTCAATGGATGTCAAGGGTAAGGTCAGCCTCATTGTCTCAGCACCATGGTCGAACTTGCATCGGAGCCCATGGGTGCTGTCAAGCTGATTCTGGTGAGTCTGATCATGACCATGGCTACGTGCGTAAATGTTACAAGCTTCCTGCGATGCTGCCACAATTTTTGCATCTGGCCCAGGCATCCGCAATCTTATGCTGTCATGCCGAGGTTTGGGGTGCCATTCGAGAAGCCAGGATGTCATCCGCTAAGCGCAGTCATGCAAATGGTAGCAAAGTGAACTTTGCGATGTTTCGACCTGAGAACGTGATCGTATCGCCCAACAGGATGGTTGCCTTTGCGGATGTCCCTGTAATGGGAATGAACTTGTGTTGGGGGGACGCTGGTTTTGAGAAACTCCCTTTCAAGCTTCTTCGTGTTGTCATGCCGTCAGCTGCATAGGGATAATGAAGAGTTGGGGTGTAAGGTGTCCCTGTCTTGACGTGTCTCTGACACTAGGAACTCTGCAAGGTTATCATTTTGGCAATATACAGCTGCATACAGTCTTGGGAAGTAGCCACTCTGCTTCAGTAGGAGTCATCAGAAGGCACCGTTCATGTTGGTATGGGATAACAAATGACACAAGGACAGCATCGCTTGAAGAAACGCAACTTATCCTACCGTGGGTACAAAAAGACTGCACCTGACTCCTCAACAATATGTCCCAGACACACCCAGGACCTGAAGCAATATAATCCCTATATAATCCCTAGATAATCCCTATAAAGCCCCTATATAATCCCTATATTCCCAGTAGTTTCCATTTTCTTTTCCATTACCCCAACTTCAAATCTTGGAAACCACCCCCAAAGCAAGTTCATTCCCAGGCGGCCTCCCGAGTCGACTGTTTGGGAGTGCCACGGTACCGGGCTCCACCCCCAGAGCTTCCCGGAATGATGGATTACAGTGGATGAACGAACGTGAGGGTTCCAAGGAATTGTAGGGATGCATGCAGACTGGCGGGGCTTGAGTTCTTTTGCAGGACTTCGAAGAATAATGGGTTTGATTTTGGGGCTAGCAGGCTTTTGTATGGAAAGCGCTTTTCCTTTACGACTGGCCGTGGTTTTGGCATTTTGGGGGCTTTGTGATTTGCTTTGATGTTGAAAGGTGGGAGTCTAAAGGTTGCCGAGATGAGGGTTTGGGATAAAGTTTGCTCGTACGCCCTTCAAAAGGAAACATCTTAGGCCATCGCAGCACGCTGACATATCTATGATTCGCCTTTTTTAGTTTTGCGGAGTGTGTTTGGAGATCTGGCCAAGTTTTATCAGCTTGTGCAGAGTGCTTGCTACCTTATTGCCATTTTGGAGGGGGTCAAAAAGAGTGGCTTTGCGACGAGCCTTGGACGGCCCTCTCGCGACAAATGGTCTCTGACAGAGGGTTGATTCTGCGACAAACCCCCTTCGCGACAAGCAGTGGATGGCATGTCTGGTCAGCTCAAGGCCACGACAAGGGAGTTTGGAACAAGCGGTTTACAAAGGGGCGACAACATCAGTTTCGGTGCACACCCGAATCTTGACATACATTCATGAAGGCCCTTGGTGGCCGCTCATTTGAAGCCCGCCTACATGCTCTTCTAGGACTAGGACACGGGCGTTGATGTTGCCTCGCGTATAGGACGTCCCTGGGTGATCCAATTGAAGTGGGCGCAGTTCGAAAGGCCGCTGCCCCGGTGCACCTCTGCCTCTTTGAGGGTGAAGCAAGATGATTTCATAACTTAGAAAATGCCACATGCGCCTTGGCAGCTAAATGCATTTGTTGTGATCAAAAATGCAACCATTTGTTCCGGTGCAGGCCTCTCTTGGCTTTTCACATTCCAACACTCACTTGCTATGTCAACAGAGCTGTTTCCTGGTCAGATGCTTGTACTTCATGTCATGTTTGCAGCTATGAGGCCAGTGTCGTAGTTCTGAAGCCACCTGTCAAGCAAGTAAGCGCGTCAGGTGCAAGTCAAGGAGCCCCGCGTCGAGCCTCTGCTGATTGCAAGCAGCAAGCATGGTCCTCAGTAGATGCACAGCCATGGTATCTTACCTCACGCGAGTGCATAGCCGTACAGACGAAATCATTGCACAGGTTAGGCGAGAATATTTTGATTGATTACGGCAGCTGTGCGATTGCCTCTTTCTTTTTCTCTTTCACTCTCTGTCTCCAGCCCTCTCCCTTTTGCCACCACGGTAATATATGCGTGGAAGTAACCAGGGCCCAGGATGGGAAATCCTTGCAACTCAATTGTGCTTCGTGCCTCTTCCTTAGTCTCAGTTTCGAGCAGCGCCCACACTGCCCTGAAAGTTTGTATCTGCAGCAGCACCGTCTCTGAGAAGCCCCCTGGCAGCATGAGGTCTAACCTTGGGCACCTGGAAGGTAGTGTGCGGCTGCCCAGACTGAGGGGCTTGGTGTGTCATAATTAGGAATTTGCAATGTGGCATTGTGTTTCGAGTCGAGGGTTGTGCCGAGCATCTCGTGATCCAAATCACGTAGCGGTCATAGCCGTAGCCATCATCGGAAGCATGATCAGGTCACACCTGTTCCTGCTGTCATCGTGAGACTTGCGTGTTCTCATGCTACACTACGCACTGAGCACAGTCAAAGCTGCATCAGGCCGCGGCCATCGCGATGAACAAGTGCATCCTGATTGTCATGCATGCCATGGCCGCAAGAGACCTACCAGTTTCAGACAGATCGATTGCCTTCGTGAGTGCTCAGTCATTCGCGCCACTTGGAAAAATGCCTTGCCGAGTTGCCCACACAGCACTTGAAGACGCTGAACCCGCACTTGGACCACGCATCCTTCGATGCAGTCTACACGACTGAGCACACGGTCATGGCCCCGGTGCTTCAGTGCTTCTAGATGCTGGAAGCAGTATCTCTGCAAATGGTGGTTCTGAAACGAGCAGCCCATACCGGCCCAGTCATAACTTTCATTTTTTGAGGTAGCAAGGGTTGAAGAGGGCAACAGGGTTGCTCCGTACACGGTTGCAGCCCGCAGTCTGGCCTTCCCGATCAGGCCTACAAGTACGCCCAGGGCCACTGCCAGGCATGATGGCAATCCATGTGAGAACAAGACATGCGACAGAACTGTGGTTCCAGCAATGACAGGGTCACTTGGCAAGAGCTAGTTTGCGTTCGAGTGAGCTCTTGAGCAGGCCTTGCATTCTTATTGCATTGAGAGGAGTAGCAGAGCAGCAGATTCAGAAACAAATGCGCGGCTCTGCGGAGACAATGATTTCACAGCTGGCATTCTGAAGCTTGGACCATCCCGTCCCGATAGGTGTCCTCGTTCGGCGTCGGGGGCACCAATGGACATGCCATCTTCTGGGGAGAGAAGGCGCCTGGGAGCCACAAACTTTGGCATACTCTCCAATCAACGTTCTCGCAAGGGCCCACCATAGTGTCCCTCTCAGAATGAGCATGCCCTCTGGATCCAGCTGTGGTGCAGTTGTAGGTACCATCCGGCCCAAACGGGGATTCAGTTTGCTTTCTCGTCCGTCCTTGCTCAGACTTGCAGCTTGTGATGACAGCCCTTTCCGAAATGATGAGCACGGATCTTGAGGCTTGTTTCGCCGTCCTACTGACCTAAACAAGGTTGCAACTTTGCAGTTCAGAAGCCGTGCAGTTACGCAAGCCGTGAATCCTCTTGCAGAGGCACAGCCCGACGTGGACTTCCGCAGGGTCTTCCTCAAGAGCCTCAGATTTCTTTCAGATTACGTGTTTAGACTTCAACACAGACACCTGAAACACAGCATAGATGTTGACGCGATATAAATATCAGTTCAATATGTTTTTCTTCGTTTTGCTGTGAGGGTAATGGGGGCGGGGCGCTTGTAGAAAGAGATGATCATCATGATGCACGGACATCACCATACCGACAAGACCTACTGTGTCCCCGAAACGACATGGCCATTCCCTTTGGGAAGTCAGGAAGATCATGCGAGCGACGCCGCCTATTACCACAGAGGGCTCCACGGACCCTTCCCTTTGGGACTATCGCGGGCCTGGGGGCCAAGACAAGGGTTGCAGCGGAAACGAGCCATGTTAGATGAGGGACAGATTACAGGGTGATGATCGTAATGGGTTTAGAGGAGAATGCAGTAAATCGTGGAAAACGCATAAATTGCGCTTGTTCAGTCGTCCTTACGAAAGGCCTGGCACGATTCCATTGCTTGTGGCCGGAAGTCGGGCAATGAACGTCAGAGTCAGAAGAAGTGAGGCAAAGCTTCTTCAGGGGTTTACTACAGTACGAACTCCCACCACGCACAGTCAAAGGAGTCACTGCGTAAGCATTTCTGAACGCGCGGGTCGTGCTCAAAGCGCCAAAGGAATACCCTAAACCCTCAGCCCTCAGCCCCTAAACCCTGCCCTTCACCCTTACGGTAACCGAGGCTGGACTACAAGGCGACTATGGGTGACACCTACAAGGTCTCCCTGGACAAGGCCATAAGCCAGCAATCGTATTAAGGGGAGTTGTCAGGCTAATCGGAAAAGGGAGTATAGAAATGCATGGACACTGCTCACTATAGACTATAGTCACTAGTCTCGGCGCACTGCTAATCCAAGCATGGATTGTTTTGATATGGTGTGGGCCCGCTTTTACAAGAAGTAGCAATCCTAAATGCAGCGACAGCCACTAGGAAGAGAAGTAAACTACTGGCAGGGGATAAACCTGGTGCAGATGGCTATCACGCGTTGACAGCTGCCAGACCATGAATCAGGACCCGCTTACTGGAGAGGAGACCGTGGCCTTTGAGAAGGAGCAGGCGCGCAGCTTAGGAGGAGTCACGCCTTTGATCCAAAACCGCATCCAGCCTGGTCCAGCCGGGGGGTAGATGAAAGTACTGTAGAAGCTTGAGTGTGCAAAAGGTCAAGGATGACCCTGCGGAGTTCTACAGCACCACTGGCAACCACAACGACTGGGACAGCGAGCGCATGCAGGAGGGTTCCGCCTAAAGCTCGGTATCTCCAAGCGGCGGGATGAGTTGGAGAAAGAAAGTGCTGTGTGCGAGTCGAAGCCGTAAAGCATTTGCACACATGGGTCCACGCACTTTGCAGGGCACTTGCTCTCAGGTTCCCGGCCTCTACTTCCAAGACATCACGGCCAGGAGCCCAACTTGGAGCAACGTGGGACCCACTACTTTTGTCTTGCCGGGCTTTTTCGCTGAAGAATTGCAACGGTCCTGATAAAAAGCATGGCAGCATACCGTTGGCACTTTCCTGAATGCAACCTGGTTGGGCCAGAGCATCCAGTCAGGCATGTAAGGCTTTGATATGTCAGTCGCAGCATGTGGCAAGACACCGCTGAAAGCGATGCTTTCTGAGCACCTCGTCTCGTTTCAGGTGCCTGAGGGAGGGCAGCTTGAGTTCCGCATCCTGGCAGCGCAGCTGCAGATCAGCAGGTGATATTGGGGTTATAGGGAATATATAGAGGTTACATAGAGATAATGGAACAGAATATGGAAACTACTGTAGGGGTTTAGGGCAAGCGACAGCGCTCTTTTGGATCATTCTTGCAAGAGTTAGGTTTGTTCAACGCACATCGTCCAAGCCAACGAGCATGCACCTCATAGTTCCGCTCCTTGTGGCTGCCCCCGCTGCCTCCCTTCACGCCTCCCCCCGCCCGCCCAGCTGTTGTCCTCGTGATTGCATGGGGTATCGATAATTCCTTCCCCTGAGCCTCATGTAGAGTACGATTATAACCTCATTTGGGTGTAGCGCCTTGTGATCACCAGATATGAGACCATCACGACAGGTAAGGTCTTGCTGAAGTACCTAATTCATGAACATGTAGATCCGTATTCGTATTCCCCAAAGGCTGCGCGCTTCAGTGTTTACCTCGGGCTTCATAGTCAACCATGCGCAGCAACACTTCCAAAACAAAGTAGTTCCAGCCATCTTCCAAAATCATCTGGTTCAGCATTTGTTGCCGAAGCCTTGACGTTGTTGCCATCGCCGTATTCCCGCAAAACGGCACTCTACGCCCGAGCGTGACCTCCTGAGGGGGGAAAGGAGCCTGTGTGGAGGCCAAGGCAAACGAGCCTGAAAACTCTGCCTCAAGCCAGTTGGGTAGTTCTCAAAATTGGGGGTACATGTTGGGGGCTATAGGGCTATTCATGGATAATGGAAAAGAAAATGGAAGCTACTATTTAGGGTTTAGGGCGGTTCCCAAAATTGGGCTCCCAGTTTGGTACCATCAATGGAGAATCAAATGGAAAAGAACATGGAACATGCAATGGAAAATTGGATTATATACTGTAGGGGTTTATAGGGTTTTAGGGTTTCCCAAAATGCAGGTCCCCTTTTGGTACTCCTAAATATTAGGCGCCGTAATATAATCTATAACCACAAGGGGTCCATAGTTTTGAGAACAAGCCAGTTCTTGAGGGCTTTGCTGCAGCTTCCAGATGCTCTTACAAATGTTGCTAAGTGAGGAAAACCTCCCATAGTTTATTGCCAATGGACGCCCAGGTTGATGGTGATGCAGACAAGCAGTGGTCTAAGCAGGTTTGCTTCAGCTTGTCCGGGCACAAGGCGGTCTAGAAAAGCAAGACTGTAGAAGCCATACATTGTAAACACAAGCAACAATATAATTCAATCCAGTGTTGTGTTGCTTCCCATCTCTGGCTTTGCAAGCTGTAAGGCTGCTTGTGGATGGAAATCTCTGTAGAAGCTTTGTTCATGTCACTTTCTGAGGAACATTGGGCCGGAGGATACAACCTCGCCGGGGGCTCATGCGTGAAGGTTGTTTGAATCTGAGGCTTTGAGCTACATGTATGTCTGGTGGCAATGGCCACAACACGAGTATGCATGGCTTTCTGGGAACGGATCCAACGATGGAAAATCCGGCGCCGCTCCGATTTAAGCCGCATGCTCGTGCCTTCAGGCAGCCGCTTGTCCCCATCAAGGGGCCAGAGAAGCAGCTGTGCTCTTGGCCTGTTTGCAATGCAGATTCAGTGCAAGGGCGCTGCATGAAAGCACTCTTGCCGTCTTATGGACCTAGTCTGCCTGGAGACGTCATCCCGCAAGGTACGTGGTAACTCGGTATGAGGCTCTGTGCATCTCCAGCTAAGGGAAACCTAATCATCAGTCAGGAGCGCTGAGTACATCACCGTACCAGGGGCATCAAGACCCCGAACATGACTTTCTTACATACAGTAACTGATGAGAGCAACCATGTTGGCAACACTAGCCAAGTGAACAATTGTATCTTTTGCGATTGTGGCTCTTGACAACCCTCCAAGGCAAGGTGGAAACGCAAGGATTATGAGCAAGTTTTCTAGCACACGTTGTAGGGATGATACGGGCAGCAGTGAAATGTTACAGCAACCGCAACTGAGAGGCTCCGAGACCCTTGCAAGGCATCATAACAAAGACCTTAATGTCTTGTTCCACATTCTCATCATCTGGCTCAGCTGTGCAGCTTGATAGTCAGGGGTTTGCATTGAGAAATGCCTTTAGCAGCTATAGCAAACATTGAAAAACGTACGGGGCTGTTGCTGCACGAATGCAGGCGCACCTCGTGGATTGTGGACACGTCGCCGGGCAGCCTCGTTCGGGTGCGCCTGCCAACTACAATGCCAAGACATGTTGCTATCGCCGCCACCCGCAGCCAACACCGCAGCCGCCGGCCCGACCCACCACCGCCACCCCCACCCCCACCACCCACCACCCACCACC